CTATGAGTAGTGTAATCGTCGTCCAATGCTTTTGCGATATCTTGACCTCGTGAAAAGTATTGAGCCGTTAATTCGGAATAAGATTTTTGACAAATTTCTGAATTCATAAGCCAATCACCGCTTCGCGAGTCGAGAAAGCGGCACGTTGGTTCAATTTCTGTGCGGATGCACAGCATTTTAAAGACTTCTTTTACATTAAAACATCGCAGCCGTATCGAGGGATTCTGAAGAACATCTCGAAGAAATGAAATCCTTTTTTTGATAGTAACTTTTGTACCTATAAAATTATGTAAGATTTATTAATAGCTCTTTTCTTAAAATTTCACTCTGATCTTACCTACTGTATTTTCGAATGCCACATAAAAAACAGCTCTGACACCCCAAGAAACAGCTGCCAATTTATTGGCAAAGTGCTTCCTCATAAAAAATTATATTGATGAAAGGGTTTGGTTTTTAAAAGGAGCAATTTTTTCCATAGTTGATTCTACGTAGCCATTTCCTGGAAGAAACTAATACACTTTTCGATTTTTCAATTTTTCGTAATGTCGTTTTTTGGGATAAAGTTGTATTTTTCTGCATTAAAAAAATTTCAAAGTGTATACTAATTTATACCATTGGATTCGTCATAAAAAATCCTAAATTTTGGTGGTGTCAAAAATTTTTTTAGATTTTTTTTGTTCATTTGCCACTCGCTCGAAAATGAACTTTGCGGAATTTGCGAAAAAGAACGATCGAAAAAGTGTATTTTTTTGAATGAAATTGCGCTCCTAGGTCATAACTGACTACGGCATTCGATTTTGCAGACAAAAACACATAAGAAAATGTATTGTCAAGACTATTTTTACACTTTAAACAGAGTTTGAAATAAATCGAATGATAGCCCGATTTCGCTTCTTTTTTGGAGCACGTTTTTGAACTTCAAAAATCCATCGACACCATCTAAAATCATTTTTTTGGGTTCTAGTTTACGGGAAAATTCATTTTAAACCTCAAACTTTCTGATTCCGATGGATCCCCCGAGATATAAAAAATTTTAGAAAAAGTTGACCACCCTAATGTATAGACTGTGCAACATGCAGTGAAAAATCTTTTGCTTCTTAGCCCTGAAATCGATTAACTCACCATGCAAAGACCTCGCGATTACAGAGTAGAGCACCGGATGGAAACAAAAACAAACAAGTAGCAAATTTCGTACTTGGTTTACCTTTGTGACTATCTGCCCCTAGATGTCGCTTTGTGGATGACAGTTCCCGCAAGCAGTAGGACATTGGAAACAAGGGTATATATATCGTCTCCGATCTTGTGAAGAAGTTCTGTAGATAACCATACAATGACCCCGACGGATGGTAGTTGAGGAACAGGCATAAAGCCGTTACCGGTCCACGTTTCGATATGCGATCTGTCAGGAGAGAAACTGAGCCAAAAATTGGCTTTCATTATTGCGGATACGATGTATTAAACTTACCAGTCAACTCTGCTCCCTAAACTCCATGATCTCCATGAGATAATTTTAAGGTACAGAAACTCGAAATTTTAAATAATTGTGCTAATCACCACAATATTCTGTAGGTTCTAAGCTATAAAAATTATAGAAATAGAAAAATATTAACAGATTTATATTTATAATAAATGGCTTACAGAGTGTGTTTGTGCGTGTACAGGCACAATATGATTAACGCTTGAATGATTTTTAGTTTCGCCGAACGGAGGCAACGAGCGAGAGAGATCGCAGACTAATTAAAATCACCGAAAAAACTTTTTTTCTAGCTGTTCTCTCTCTTACTTACCTATCGTATCGGATAAAAGCAACAGTGGAAATAATTTCAGCGCTGCAGCAGATATATCAGCTGCAGACTGTAATCATAGCAAATACAAGAGTTTATACATTATTTATACTAGTACATTATTTATACTAGCTAGCATAATGTAGTACATGGCGAAATTTCTCAAAACTCCTAGCTAATTTACACGTTCACTAAGAAAAATAGGAAATAAACGTTTAAGTCGAAAATTATCGAAATATCCGACTACACCACGTGAAAGCTGAGAAAAAATCGCACAAAAACTATATTTTTATTTATTTTTCTAGTTGAATTACATTGTCATTTGTGTAAGTTGAACTTTGAAAATAACTGTTTTTTATGTAAAAAGACCTCAGCTTTCTATTAAAATAATAAAAAACACAAAAAATTATGATGCATTTTAACATATTCAAGTTTGAAAATTTACTTGCATTTTCCGAGGGGAAAATGGAAAATTATGGGAAATTGGACCTCACCATCGGAAAGCTGAGGAAATTTCCTATCGAAATCACTGGTTGGTTTTTTTTCCAGGTTAGTTTAGGTACTTTCAGAGCGAGTTAGAAATTGAACAATTTCGCTCAAAAACGCTGTTGCGCGATGCTAGGAGTTTTGAGAAATTTCGCCCCATATAGCTGATTTTACTCGGGCTAAAATGCAGATGCAGCAGCTTACGTAAGGGAAAACACATAAGGTCCCATATAGCATTTTTCGTCACAAAAACCGGCGATAATACCTTGATCACATTTAATATGATTGCATACAAGCCTTGAATTTACTGGTTCTTTTTATAATTCGTATAGCTAATTCAACTTTTCTGGGAGGAAGAAACTGGTGTAATTTTATGAAAAGTCGAACAAAAGAATACCTATCAATTTGTTCCTGGTCAATGTCACGACAAAGGATACTATATTTTCATTGTTTATTCTGTGAATGTCTACAATATTCGATCATTTACGATGATTGAAATTTCAGCAATTTATACAGCCGCAAAGCGATGCGAAAAACTTTCGCCAAAATTAGGTAAGGGTTTGCTTTATACCATGTCCGAGTATGCCTTCAATTCGGCGAGTTATGTGTTTTATTAACATCATAAGTGTGTGAAAATGCCCAACATACTGAATAAAAAAAAAAAAAATAGTACCCATTCTCACTTTTATTCCAGAAATCTACTTGTTATCGATCATTTTCCGTCGATATACTACCGAAAGTCAAGATTTAAACTAGTCTCAAAGTTTCTCTCGATTACGCGGTGTATATTCACACCTGAGCATTGGTAATAGTACACAATCGAAATTCATACGAGCTGTAAACTTGCCGTCGATGATAGTGCTTTGATCGACTGATTTTATACAAAACGCGTTTATAGAAAAGTTCACGTTCAAGAAATGAGGATGAAAATTTCGATACTCGAAATTCCACCTAAACAATGAGATAATTATGTTTGTAGACTGTGCGAAACAAATCGATTTACTCTACATGTGAAGAGCTCGCGATTAGAGATTAGTGCACGCGATAAAATCGAAAAAAAAACAATCAATTTTATGCAAGGTTTACCTTTGTGGTTATCTGCCGCTAGATGTCGTTCAGCGGACAACAGTTTCCACAAGCGGCAAGATATTGGAAGCACGAGTATATATCTGACCCAGTCCGCTGGTATTTTTAATTCCTTTTTCGAAGAAAATCTCTGTAAGATCGAAAAACAAAACACCTGGAATCGCGACGGAGCTCGCATACCAGTGGACTTGTCAAAGAATTACGTCGAATCTTTGGCTCCGGGACAAGTTTGTAAACCAAATTCTGGGTTCTTTTTGTATTACAATGTGTGCTGTTGCACTCCCACAGGAGATAACTACCACTGCACAAGAATGAATTGTGACAAAGGTATGTGGAGCAGGAACGGCATATTGTTGATTGATTTGAATTAATTCTGATAATCTTGATAAATAAATATTTTCTAATTCAATTGTAAATGATATTTTTATTGCTCCTTTTCATCAATACTTTACTTTATTATCCGACGAATAGACCTTATTTGGTAAGAACAGTTTTATGCAGTTTTTTAATCATCTGCTTCTGACAAATAAAGGATGACTAGTGTAAAAAAAATGTTGTTAAAAAATTATCGGTACTTGAACATCTAATTAGACATAATTATTTGATTTTCATTTTTGAATCGAGAAAAATTGTTGCCACTAATCGAGGGTAGAAAGCCGATGAGAAGCAGGTTTATTTGAGGTTCCTTTATTTAAGGTACTTTTACATAAAATATTCGTTGAAATTTAATGTACTTAAAATTATATCAGAAAATTACATGAAAGTATAATTACATGCATCATTTTTAATGCAAAAATGAACAAAAATGATTTGATTGTGTAAGCGAATTTAAACATTCTCATTGAAATTTCTAAAACATTTATGAGGATTCAATTAAAATTGACTGCAATCTCCGCCACTAGATGACGAATACCCCTATCAATAAATCTGAAAGTGGCAAAATGAAAATAATTATATGTGAGTAAAATAAAAAGTAATCACATAAAATAATAAGTAGTCACATAATGTTTGATATTACAGCCGAACCTCTAAAATCATTCGGACAGACCGATGCGCTCAGAAATCCAATCAGCGTAATGCAATACATTGGTCAACAGATCGGGTCGAAGTCCAATGCCACCGGACACGATTCCCACTTGAACTCCTCTGCCATTGACTGCCGGCCCTCCCGAGTCACCCTGAATCATAACGATCAAAACTCATGATGTTTTAACGTAATTTGCACGCTAAAAAGAAGAAAGCGATATTTTTTACCTTGTACTGTCGCTCGTCTCCTTTCACGCACAGAAACGTGTGGTCGACTTTGGTGAAGGTGGCGAGAGGCTTCCAGTCCACGATGCATCTTTCGAGATCGTAGAGACGAGTGCGGGCGTATCGTAATCTTTTCACCGGTTCGTCGACAAAAAACTGTAAAGGCGTCAGTGATACATTTTTTGAATGTAATCTTGATTTTCATATCGAAATTTTTATCACTCACTTCGGTGGAACCCCATCCAGAAATAATTATCAGACCACCGTCTTCGGGTATGTCGTCTCGAGAAGAGGCCAATTTTACAGGTTGCACTCTATCGTTGAACTCGATGTCTCTCGACACTCTGATCAGTGCGATATCGTAACTTCCCGTCTCGAACGACTATAAAAAACAAATCTGCTATATTCTCTCCTTCGTTCAAATACGCGTGTATATGGCTCACCTTTCCATACTCTTCGTGTTTGTACAGCTTCTCGACGTCGTAGCTCGTCGAGTCGTTGCTCTCTAAATCAACCGAGCCGACGGCGACGTTCAAATATTTTGGATCCCATAAAACTTTTCTGTCCTCCAAATCCTCGCCGGCCGTCGCGTTCTCGTTGTCGATGGCGACGCAGTGCGCCGCGGTCAGCAGGTAACGTTTGTTTAAGATCGACGCGCCGCAGAAGTGATCGCGCTCGAGCTGCAACGAGGCTTGATACGGAAAACTGCCTTCGTCGGCTTCGGTACCTTCGAGGATCCGTAGCTCTGATTCGAATGAGATTGTTTAACAATACGTATTGTATGCGAACAAATAACAAAATTAATGGTATATACTTGCGTGACACCCAAAAAATAGGGTGAATATGATTGAGACCACGAAGAAATTCATTCTTCCAATCAATGCGCTCCAGTCAATGGCTTGAATTTAATTGAAATTGAATTTTAAGATGATAATAAAAAAATACCGGCAAAGTTAATTTTATTATCAATAAGAGTATTAATCTTGTTACTTCGTCAATACTCTATTGAATTTTTTTCGTGGTTCAATAAAATCGTGCACGTTATCTTGCACGTGCATTATTCGTTTGTTCGATTTTTATGGATTTTACTTTACAGCCTAGTCAGGCGCTTTGAATGGAAACATTAATATTAAGGAAAATCGGCGTCGAAAAATATTCCAACATATTGAGCTTTCGTTACTCCATACGCTATACTCTTTCACAAAGTATCCAACGAGTCGATTCGGTTGATTTAGCGTTAGCCTCTCTCTTCGACGTATTTATGCAATAATCTCGCATGCAAAATATTATTTTCGCTCATCCGTCTCGTTGTTTTCATAATAAACAAATATATTTGCAAATCGTGACCTAAAAAGTGCGCCTCTCTCTCTACCAGCTTCGCTCGAGCTCGCAGCATCGGATCCCGAGCTTTTTGCCGAAAGCTCGCGCGGCAAGCGCACGATATAATCTCGCCAATTCGATCCTATACAGCGGGGCGCGCAGTTATTGCTTCCGCATTAAGGGTACAAACTCATGCACATGCTGCACGAGATCGATATCTCAATTTAATCTCGATCGCGTTCGCCGCCGCTGCTTCCAAGTCATAACTACTACCATATAGCTCTCCGAGCGAGTGCTGCTGATGTGCGACGCAGCTAACGAATAATCCGTAAGCTCTTTCTCTCTCTCTTCTTCTTGTTGGCCCAATTTTCTAATTTTACATACGCACCCGCTGCACCAAAAGAGAGAGAGAGAGCGTCGTCTCACTCACTCTCTCTTTCTCTGTGTATTCATGCATGCCCATGTACCAAAGAGATCTTGACTCTCATAGCGATTTAAACTTACCGATTCGTGTCTATGCGAGTCTGTGCGTTTATAAACACAGGAGCTCGAGACCCTCCGATTGATCGATACGCAAAATCGCGGGTGAACTTGACGAAGAAATAATGAATCGCGTGCATTGTTATACTCGTTGAAACATCGTTGCTTACTCTTGTACCAAAAATCGTCGATACAAACTCGGAGCTTTTATCGTCGCTTTAATCAGAGTTACACATTAGCGAGAGATGAAACTTCTTGGCACGTATCATTTGAGCTTAATGAGGATGTATATGCAGCGAGTGCGTGCCAAAAATTAGTACACCAGAAAACATCAGATCGATAGCCAGATTAAAATGTACACGATATTTATATTTATACAAACTTATGAAAAAAAAGTTTCAATTTTGGGTATGTACTATGTTATACATCGAGTTCAGCGGAGTGCGCGACAAAATCGGGAACGCGAACGATTCGGTCAATGGTTTTGATGGTTACCCAAGTTTACGACCGGAGAGCCCAATAAGTTCCGTCGAAATAATAAAATGTAAGTTAGGTGCGAGGGAGGGGCGCTCGGGCTCTTAATAATAGCCTGTCACGTACTACCTCTGCCGTGCGCTACCTGATCCTTTGATGAAAAGTATACAAGCATATACGTTCCAAACGATAAATGCCCATCGATCATTGGGTGTTGATATTCGAAATTGCCAAACATCATCGTAAACTCATAGCTTGCGCGGGCCGAAGTCCGCTACTCGAGAGTTTTGCGCCGCGGAGATTTCACGCTCGGCCAAAATAGAAGTTATAAACTCTCTTTCTCTCTATTTATTAAGCAATGTCGCCCGTTCCAAAACGCAACGCGCACACGCCCGAACGCGTATAGCAGCAGCAGCAGCAGCAAAAACCTAATCGGCCATTAAAATTACAAAAGCACACAACGAACAAAAGGCCCGTAAATAAATCCAGCGAGCGAGCGAGCGAGCATCGCGACGACGACGAAACGTTGCGGGGTGTATGTATTTCGGCGTTGATAGTCGAGCGCGCCCATATGTAACATCTTGTATCACCGTATAGTATGTATTATATATCGGCGCGCGCGCGAGAAAGCTCGGAGTAGCGACGAGTAGTGGTGAGAAAAGCGCCGCGCTTGGTTTCTCTATTTTTGACCTGAAACGCAAAGAAAACGCGCTACGACTGTGTAGCCGGCCGCGCCGATGCAAAAGAGAGAGAAAAGAAAGAGAGACAGTCGAATTCCACGGCTGATGTTTTTTTTTGTTAAAAATTTCAAACAAATGCACGTCATTTTTGTGTAGAATATTGCTTTCTCATACAAAGGAGATTGTGAATTAGGCATAGTATAAGGCAATTTGGTTCACTAAATTTATAAACTAGATTGAATTCTCCTCAGGCTTGATTCAGCTGCATCACACTATGGTGTATGCATTGACTCATATGCATTGTACTCTCGAAGGGTGTTCTTTTCTTCATAAGCTTAAAACCCATAATTGTAACGTATGAATTTAAAATGATAATAATAAAAAAATTAATTTTTTCGTCCAAAGGTCAGACTAGAAATATTTTTTCCGAATAAAAAGATTATTTATTTTTCATTAACATTAACAGTTAGAAATAATGCAATATATTATTCGGAAGAAGCTTTAATTTGTTAATGAACAAGCTCTGATTTTTTCAGTTTTTCTTCAATACGCAGAAACAATGGAGTCCATCTATTATCGCAGTCACCTATCGACATAGTTAATTGTTTTGCTCTTTCATGTGATTCATAGTTCTTTTAGGCTATATTGTCAATGCAATGTATCTTTTACTTATAAAATAATGAATTTCATATCAAAGACTAAAAATTCATCTTCATATGGAAAACTTTTACACGAGTTACACATCCTCAATATATTTTTCAAGTTTGCTAGTCCATTTTTTGTTTCTTGTAATGAACGATCTTTGAATTTGCATCATATTTTTTTATGTTTACACCAGATTCTGCAGCTGATTTGACTTATGCTCTTAACTTTATCTCAAGTTGACCGCTAATAAAAGAATTTGACCAATGTTTTTTTCGAAGATTAGATAATGTTTTTTTTTACCATATAACTTTGTTTTTTAAATTATAGGACCTATAATGATCGTTAAAAATGTATAAGTGTTATAATAAAAGTGATGGTACTCAAAATTAGAAACTGACCTTCATCGGTTATCATCGGTACATTTTGTTAAAACAAAAATATATTAAACATTATTAGTGTAACTTTTGCTTTACGAATTAGAATTGATAAAAAGCCATTCCATATCTTTTTATTCAAATTTAGTTTAGTATATAAAATGAAATTATGACTACCCCGACGGAAAAAAAATCGTTCAAGAAAAAGTAAAAGTAGTAACTAAAACCATCATATTAATGCAAAAATTACTAGCGATTTCGAACAGCCAATGCATTAAAAAAGGCAGCATAAAATCACATTTTTCTACACTTTTTTACACTTTTTTACATTTTCTTCAACATGCTATCCGCGTGTGATCGCATCGACCACAGCAAGTGATTTTCGTGAAAAAAATGTATTGATTTTTATGAATAAATTAAGACAAGTTATGATGGATATGTATATTGTATATGGGCTATATAGCGTCAACTGCCCTCCCCCCCCCCCCTTGGATCAAAGTTATAATTTGATTTTTCACATTTTATTCTGCTTTCCAAGAGTGAATATGAAAAAATGATTGAAACATGATTTTTTATGTAAAATTTGATGAGGAATTCAAATTTGATGTCAAAAATCATATTCATAAATTCCAAGTACCTTATTTTCTAAATTTCAGCCTCAGTGACAAAAATAAACATGTTCGTATCCAGCGATATGGCCAATATTGTAATATGTTCATCGATACACCAAAATACAACTTCTGATAAATTTTTGTCTTCGGCAGACAATCAGACTTCATTATTGAACATGATATGAGTCAAGAATACAGGAAATTCAGAGAAAAATCATGTTTTATTGACACACATGAAGGTCAATAATGAAGTCTTGCTGTGGTCGATGCAATCACACGCGGACTTGACTGGAATTTGAAACTCATAATCAAAAATTGTAACATTTAAAATTATTATTACAGAATTTTATGTTTTTTTATACTTCTTTACTTTTTCCATGTAACTTTAATGAGCTTGAATTCATAGAGTTTTCATCTCTCTAATTATAGGTAAACAAATGCAATAAACTTTAATAAAATGTAAAAAAGTGTAGAAAAACGTATCACAAGTCCGAAATCGTTAGCAATCTTACATTTTTTTACACTTTTTTACTTTTTATTACAGTTCACAACATTATTATGCACTTTATTTAATAAAAAATTTGCGCTGGAGTAATTAAAATTATTAGTCTCTCGTAGTCCGAGCAAGACGTCCGAGTCCTTCACTCAATTCAAGTAAAAAATAATTCAAAACAATGAAGACTGCTTTCTTCGTTTTCTTGATCATTGCTTCGATCTGAGGTAAACATCATATTATACATCAAAATAATTTAATTAGACATGCATTGTTCATTAATCAGAGGTACAAAATATTATTATTCTCATTTCCAGCAACTTTTGGCAAATCCATTGATGTGGAAGAGCACGCAAATCTGCGAACCAAAGAGCACCTTCAATGACTACTGCAACAAATGCGTTTGCTCGTACGACGGCCTTACCGCTGACTGCACTAAGAAATTCTGCGATCGTGACCCCTGGAATCGCGACGGAACTCGCATACAGGCGGATTTGTCAAAGGATTACGTCGAATCCTTGGCTCGGGGACAAGTTTATAAACCAAATTCTGGGTTCTTTTTGTATTGCAATATGTGCGGTTGCACTCTCACAGGAGATAACTATTACTGCACAAAAATGAATTGTGACAAAGGTGTGTGGAGCAAGAACGGCACGTTGTTGATTAATTTGAATTAATTCTGCCAAACTTAATAAGTAAATACTTTTTAATTTAATTGTAAATTATAATTTTTGCATCCTTTTCCTCTATACTTGATTTTAATACCCAAAAATAGATGTCTGTATTAAAGAAAAATTCACCAAAAAAATATCGATAAGTCAGCAACCATAATTAGTCGTAATTATTCGATTATCACTTTTGAATGGAGAAAAATGGTACCCACTTAAACGAGGGTAAAAAGCCGATGGAGAAACTGCTTTTCTATTTCTGCTTTGGAGAGGATTATAACATAGCGCGGTCCAACGGAGAAAATATTTCCTCATACACACGCATGCACACGAGCGTTGCCATATTATGTGTATGTGTGTGGTATATTTTTAGTAAAACTTCGCATAGACCGGCGCGAAGATTCCACGTTTTGCCGGGAGAAAATTTTGCAGCATATTTGCGCCTTTATGCGCGCAAACACTTTTGCTTGAAAAAAAGAAATAGTTATCCTCGATCGAAGTATACGTGATTTTTACACAAGGTAATGATAATAAGCTCGACCAGTCGGTATTTGCATGAAGAAACGAGATACAACATCGAATCATCTTAATGAATTTTCAATCATCCGATCGTTCATTTTTAGAGTCTCGTATACTTCTATACACTGCATGCTCTAAAGCAGCAGCAGCAGCACAGCCAGCCTAGCGCAGCGATCATCGAAACTCATGCGCTCTCGGACGCGGTCGGTCGAAACTTGTCATTGGCCTTCTACTACTACTACTACTGCTGCAGCTACTACTACTGCTGCAGCTACTACTGCCCCGTACTGCGCCAGCGCGCCAATCGCCCATTGACCATTATACACACATTTACGTTCCGTTTTCCAGAAGGCGAAGCAGCAGTAGCAGCGGCAAATAAGTACGCGCAAAACTTTGGCAAGCCATAATAGTGCGTATATCGGGCGAGTTATTCTTGAAAGTGCACACGAGCACGCGATAATATATATCGAAAAGGCTAGTAGAGAGAGAGAGAGAGAGGCGCTGTATACAGTGGCAGATATTTACGAGTTTCTTCGAGATTTTCCGCTCTATAAAATCGGCAAATTGTCAAGTGTGTCTCTCTACTGCTACCACTGGCGAACTTTTTTCAATCGTCACACGTTTCGATGATTTAATTCAACACTTGGGCAGATGCGCCAAGAGCAATAATCATCCTTATAATTATAAGAATGCCCCGCTACGAGGAGAGTCTATATTAAATTTGACTCGCAGACAGAGTCAGAAATTCCACGCGCACTCATATATGGACTTTTATTGCTGCGCTTATATACGTCTCTCGGGTGGTTGTGACTTTCCTTTGTATTTACGTGCACCCCGAGTATTTACGCGAACGCCGCCGCCGCTGCTGCTGCTGCGCCTCCACATTACACACCTATATCGGGAGGTACGGGGTGTATTTTTGGCACGCGCAAATCGCGATGCGATAGCATCTCGAATATGCACGAAAGAGAGACAGATTTGGCTTATCAGTTGAGAGCTTAAGAAAAAACCCTTTTTTTATCTCGAGATAATTAGTTGTAGGTAATTCGGAGGTGTGCCGATTTCAGCTTGCATACACATACGCACACACACATTCATCCGCAATGCTCGCAGCGACACAATCGCATGTACATGGCAGCTTTTCATCGGGCAGCATCAGCACGCAAGATCATTCAAATAATCCCGTGATTCATGCACAACAACGCGCGCGCACACACACACACACGCGCGCACATACAGAGGCGCGAAATATTACGTGTATAGAAATTTCAAGTTCTATTTTAGAAACGCAAAATCTTGGTTACCGGTATTATTAGATCGTTACGAAAAAGTCGCGTTATTTTTGCTTGTAGACACGGCTTCTGTGTGTGTGTGTACAAAAAAAACGAGCGAGCCGCCACCTGGCGTCAAGCTCAACAAGCTCCTCAGGCGCAGCGTGTGATCGAGCGAGCGGATCGGTCGAGCTTTTAGCTTTCGATCGTTGGAAGGGTCGATACCTGCGACGGTCAAGCAAGCTTGAATCGAGAGACTGAGAAGCGAGTTTTGACTTTTGACGCACTGTTGGCAGCACTCGTAGTGATTTTTTTACGAAATTGATGAGGCGGACTGATAGATTGACTGAATATTATTGGATTGATTTTTTAAGATGAACTTTTATATACAGTTCAGTTTGTTTTGCCACTTGTGGATTTACAATACTCCATCTGTTGGACGAGTCGAAAACTTTATAAACGAATATGTCCCCTTTGTCCACCAAACTGTGTGCGCCAACCGAAAAAAATCGTGCTTGGAATTCAAAAATTAACATGTATTCTTTTATTAATTTAAAAATTTTTTGTTCTTCTTCTGGCATTTTTGCCGAAATTCGTTTCTTTTTAAAATAGTCGCTCAAGCGAAGTGTTATGAACTTAAGACTTGTTGGAGCCTTTTTATAGCTACTGAGTTTAAAAAGATACTTCTGTTAGTGCTTTAAACAATTTAAATATAAAAAATTTTCGTGAAATGAACATGAAAATTGCTCAATTTTTTAAACAAAGAGCTATTTTATATTCGTGCGAAATTTACAACACATTCATAAATAACTTATAAAATAATCATTTATTGATGTATCATAATAATTATACAGTTTTTTTCATAAAATTTATCAGTAATTATTATAAATTGTATCATATTTTCACATAGTTCTCACATATTTTATATGAAACTAACATACATTTTTAGAAAGTTGAAAGTCGTTTGTCATAAAAAGCTACGAGACTGCATCAGATTAGGTAAATCACTACACTAAAATATTTTGCAAATACTTTTCAAGTTGTTGAGTTGATTTTTCGAAAAAAATTCACGAAACATTGTTAAAAACAAAGTTATAAACAAATGAAATAATGCATTTTTTTAATATTATTTGAAACTTCAGTTGGAATAACTCAAGGGAATTAACTTCTTGAAAGTACTACAGATGTGAAGTAAAACAGCTCTTCTTCAATTTCATATTTTTTCATATTAATATTTTTTTTATTACCAAAGTTACATACAAAATAGTTGAGTGTCGTGATTCACCCAATGCGGCGCAATCTCGTAGCCTTTTATGGTTCACGAGTTTTACATAAAAACGCGCAGCCAAAATTTTCTGCTCGAATAATGAGGTTATGATCGTTAACACAATGTATATTTATACGCGGTGCGACACAATGTGTTACCGACTGCTGACTGGGCACTTTCTTAAACTAACAACAATTGATTGACAATCTAATCCAATTCGACTACAATAATCTGATGCTTGGATCCGTTTAAACACAGTAGTCCACAAAGTAATCGAATCATGAAGCTGACCATCGCTTTGGCCGTATTGTTCCTCGTCTGCGTAAATATAAACTCACGAGTTTTGCCACTTTAGTATTTAGAATTAATTTTTCACCTATTCACGCAGCGAACATTTTTTTCACAGGGAGCGCAAGCTCGATCGGTAGAAGGCGATGGCAAGGACCAGCTGAAGGTCTTGGTTGACCATTTGGAAGATACCATGAAGCCAAGTCTGACCGAGACCCGCCAGCAAGTGAATAAAATTAAAACAGACATGATAAAGTCAAAGGAGGAGGTCGTGAAAAAGCGCGACAAGCTTGTCTCAGAGTTCCTAGCTCAAGGCTTCGTAAGCATTTTTTTATAATTGTCACCCTTTTGTACCTGTAAAAAGTATTCTTAATGGCGATTTAGTTAAGTTCGACGAAAGATAAAATACTCCTCGCGGCAGCCTCGATGTCAAACGACTCATCCAGTTGCATGTCCAAGTCCTACGCCATAACGCTCGAAATAGCTTACAGCAAAAACGTCCTGCGCTACTGCGTCGACACCGCTTTGCCGAATCACCTGAAGCCGGTGAACGAGGTCCTCCAGGCGATCGACAAGACAATCTTGAACGTTGACGTTTATGTCAAGGCGGTCAAACAGTGCCTCGACGATACCGAGTGCTTGAAAGACGTAAGAATAACCGCTTGTTTATATGAAAAAAAAAAATATCGTCATTGATTTTTTCAGGCTAAGGATGCCATCGACGAGCTTGAGAGGAAGACACATGGACAGGTCAATTTGTGGAAGTTGAGAGATCAACACCATAAATTGTTGAAAGACTTGGAGGCGTGCGAAAAACAAACAGCTTTCGATGTATTGATAGCCCAATTCCGTGCAGCGGAAGATGACGTCAGAAAATGTCTCGTCAAATTGATCCCTGTATAGTGTACATGACTCTCGATTTTCAGATCAGGATCTCATTTCCAGAAATTGAATTGAAAGATTTGCATTACTTTCAATCGGTTTAGAAAAATGATAATAATAAAATTCTTACACCTAGACGATAATTTTATTGATTCGATACACCCGATTCGCGAACAATTACTTCTTATATCAGCGGACGTCAACGGTTCGTCGTAGACTGCCGGGGATATTTTGAATCTTGACATTGCTCGTAAGTAATTGTACTGCAACTATACTGTGACTTTCCTTGCGCTATGTACATGTGACCATTCATGCGGCAGGACTGGCACATGCATAAAAGCTCCGAGTTGGACGGCTTCAGGGATGAAAATTTTCCATTTGAGTCCTAAAATTCATTTTAACAAGTATTTATTAAATAATACGGCAGTAGACGCGGTACCTCCTTGCATCAACCAGTCAACAAGTATTTTACAATGCTGTTGATACAAGTTATTGTTTTAAATCGCGATAGCTAGATGCTACTTTGGCATCCTCTTAGAAAACTCACGATTTTATATATATTTTACCTTAATCAAGAGTCGAAAAAATCAAACGATGATAATTCAACCCTTTACTTAACCCGAATTTTATTAAATAAATTGTACACAAACGAAAAAGTTAGGAATCGGACTGGACTCGAACCAGTGCCACACGCCTATAGCCGGCGCGTACTCTACCATTTGAGCTACCGAGTCCTCTTTCCAAACTCATCGTTATTTGTGTACAAGAGCAGATGTTATTATTTTTGACTCTAATTATTTAATTTATATTTTTATCGGCACTTACCTAACAAGTGCCGGCCCGATTTCAGCTGAGGGCCAGTTATGTATTGTCTGCTGAGCAATCCTTACCAGCAAAATTGCTATTTTATTTAAGAGAATGCCAAAGTAGCATCTAGCTATCGCGATTTGAAAAAATAACTTGTATCAACAACATTGTAAAATACTTGTTGACTGTTTGATGCAAGGAGGCACCGCGTCTACTGCCGTATTATTTAATAAATAAAACTGGGGCGCGAAATAAAATAGCAATTTTACGGGTAAGAATTGCTCAGAATACAATACTTAACAAGTATTGCTATTCAATAAGTTGAATATAATTCAAAACTTTTATTTGTGATTTTTATTTGTTATTTTTATTATTATGGGAACAAAGTCCTCATTATTTGCTCCCATATCATGGATTCAACTTGGTCTACATCGTTAGCAGACATATACATATTCCGATTCGAGTTTCATGGATTCCTATTGCCACAAGTAGAGTTTAGTTAACTCGAGATTTTTATTTGTTGACTAAATTCTTGTTAAGTATCTCCTTGGTAGAATTTCTCGACATCAATAACGGTCTTCTGGCCGAAAATGACTTTTAAATAAACTATCGATGATGAACTTGCTTTTGACTATTTATTTAATACAACTTTTTTTTTACTAAAATTGAGATGCAAAAACAACAATTTGATTGTTTCGAAAAATGTAGTCAAATTTTCAATCACTTATTTTAAGGCTCTACCACTAGATGGCGAGTACCTTTGGTCTGTAAATCTGCATGCGGCAAAGTCAAAATAATCTTATGAGTTTGGGTTTCACTATTGAGCCTACTAACTCAGTCACGTGGCTCGAGGCTGCACGCACAATATTGCATTACACGCAATGCATTCTAGATAATTGAACCACCAGACGTGGCATTTCAGACTACGATCCTTTTTTTCAGATTGTTAGTTGCAATTCCTGCATCTCTTGAACAGTTGCTTTCTGATTCAATAAAATGATTCATTTGAAAATATACAGGTATTAATATCCCAGAATTCGTTTTGTATTGTAGCAAGATACATCGTAATCATTGGGATCATAATTGATCATGAACTTTTTGAAGACTATACATACTACTTCGAAATATACTACCCGAAGATTAAAAATGGTCCACCGCTCTTATAGAATAGGATAAAGAAGGCCGATTGCGATCGATAAATTGAGAATCGAAGGAGCAGACTTGACAAGTTCAATGAGCTCCTAAGTATGGCTCGTACACACACGTGAGTCTTGCGAACGCGAATCATAAATTTCGCTCACTCGAATCTCCATATACTTATTACATCGAGTCTCTCTCGATCTCTCTCGTTGCCGCTACCGACTACGCACCGCGCGATACACGGCGGCATAATATCATCGGCGTCTCTCTCTGTCTCTCTCTTTTATTTTTTGGCGCCCCGTGCGTTTAAAATATACATCGTATACCTATGCGTGGAGCAGTTATCGGTTAATTTGCGTTGGACTCGTAGCTACTGCTGCCGATCTATAAATCTCGTCGGCAAATTTCTTCAATTCTCTCTCTCTCTCTCTCTTTCTTTTCTTTTGTATTTTCTTTGGCGCCCTGCGTGTGTGCTGCGAGCGAGAGAGAGAGAGCGAGTCTGCACTGCCTGGCTTCTCGTTACGGGCGAACGAAGACGAACGGCAAGCCAAGCCGAGCAAGCCCAAGAGAATAGCTCTCGATCGAGACAGAGCCACAGAGTGAGAGAGAGAGAGAGAGAGAGAGAGAGAAATGAAGAAAGCTCGTCGTTTGCCCTGCCCGTCATCGTCGAAGGGAGAGACGATATAATATACGCGCGAGAGAGAAAGAGAGAGAACCTCCCCGCGTGGAGAGTGAGAAAGAGAGACAGAGAGATTATAAGGCTATTCTTAAAATAGGGCCGCGCTGCTCCGAAGCTCTGCTGCTGATGCTGATGCTGCTTGCGAGCGTGCGAGCGAACCAACACAGCGCAGCGTAAGCGCGAAGAAAGTAAGAGGAAAAGAGATCGGAAACATTTGGCTGCTGCTGTACGTGCGTGCGTGCGCGTTGTATATAGATCGTCCGAGATCTCTCTCTCTCTCTCTTTTGCGCGCTCTGGGGTCGTCGCCGGCTCCGCAGCACGACGGACTCATACTATACGCGTAAAACACTACTCGACGTCGGGTCTTCCCGAGCTTTGTCTATAATACACACACGCACGACTAGTGCGCCGTGATCGGCTCTTCTCCGTCTCTAACTGACGCCAGTGCGGTAGTTTTTTTTCCACTCGACCAATAAAAGAGAAAAGTTTTATTGTATTGTATATTAGCCGCGCCGCGCTTTCAGAGGTGGAGGACGACGACTCGCGCCAACGACACGTTATCGTCATCAGCTCGTGTGTTAATTTCCCTGCTTGGAGGAGAAGAATCATCATCGGTCGGTGCTTTCGACCTGTGCCTCGTGTTGTTATGTGTGGGTGTGCAAGTGTTATGATACGTGAGATGTCAATCAGTGCCTGCGATTGACAGGTGTGTCGTGATAATAATCCAAGTGCAGCGGCGTCGATGATAATCACGTAGAAAAAAAGACGCATCGCACAACATGTCGTCCTACAGGCATTACGTAAGTTTTTTTTTCTTCCCATTGTGCTTTTTCATTGTGCACTTGAATCGAGCTGTGCGTCGAGCCGATGGGCCGATGGATTCTTTTTTTTGGCAAGCCGCGTTTGGCATATATAATACGCGTCACGCGGTGACACGCGTAGCCGCGTGTGACAGTAGTGCAGTATAAGTCCCGCGTGTATACCAAGTGACATACATTACATCTCGAGCTCGAGCTAGCAAGAGAGTTCAAGCCTAGTTGGTTCGAGTTATTTTTCCGCAACGAACATTTATTCGCGACGTGCGAATCACGGACTTAAAAATATTCGAGACATCGAAAATAGTAAAAAAATGTCGGTTCGATATTATATTAATACTCGTTCGATCACCAAATTAGCATTAATTTTATCGGCGCGTGCAATATTTATATACACAAAGTTTAGGCGACTCTAAGCCGGTTAGTCTCCCCGGCAGGCATGCCGGGCATTTATTTAAAATGAACCCGCGCAGAGATATGTGTCAAACTTTTTGATTATTTACTCGGTGACGGTGCGAGTTACGCAACGAGACGACGGTGTTTTGTCGATGAGCCAGATTTTCCGTCGTCTCGATCGTCGATGTGTCGCCTCGAACATGTCCCTTTTTACGATCGGCACTGGATGCGATGTTTTGTTTTATATACATCGCCCAAAACATGTGTGTGCCTAATGAACTCTCGAGGTGCGCACCGAAAAAAAAACGTATAAATAAACTCTCTCTAGCCGTCGTCGACGTAGCAAAAGCGTCATTACGTGTATGTATACAAAATTGTGTGGAATTCATATCGTAGCACCACCACCGGCGAAAATCATGATTGTTTACAAAACAGCTACTAGCCACTATGCTCTATAATTTCGAACTTTTGGCGCGTCGCGCGTAAACTCCGCGGACGCAAGCACACGGACGCAAGCGCGTGAGAACGACTACACCCACGCGCTGCTGCCGCTGCTGTCGTCCACTTCGGTCAGTTTTTATAATGCGACCGAGACAACCGAAAGTTTTGCATGTGTCAAAAAAGAAAAACTTCATTTCCGCTTTTATACCACCACGTGTACGTGCGTGCGTGAGTGAATAATAATAATACAACAGAGAGATTCGAGAAGCGGAAACGCTATACGCTACTTATTTAGGGTCTCTCGCTCGGTGAATCGGAGCTTTTATAATACCAAGTTTAGAGTGTGTATACATTTTGATAAATAGAATCTCGAGAGTCGGGAGGGCCGTACCTACTATTCGCGTCAAAAGTTCTCATATATATCCGCACGTACATAACACGTCGATTCGCGTATAAGAATTCATCCGAGCCGAACAAATAGTGTTCGAGAGTAGTGCGGCACATACATACACACACAACGGCGGTGGCAGCGGCGAAACGATCTATTTTAAACGAGGCTTTTAATGCCTCATAGTCTGCGAGCTCGTTGAGCGATCGGCTCTGTGTGCGTCTGTACCTTTCGTACACGCGATTGTCTTTAAGTTCCGTGATTAAAAATCGTTGAGTTTTAAAAATTGCATTGTATTTTCCTCGAGACCTTGAATTAATTTCTGCCGATTCGATAATCGAAGACAACGAGCTTTGATCGAACATGATTTTATAGTTCGCGGACGAAAAATAATAATAACAACGATGATATATAACTCGTAATGTAAGATGAGGCTTATAAGAAAGTTTTAAGCGCAGCAGCAGCCGCATCTCCGCGAAGTACTTGAAGCTTCTTAATACTCGCGCCATGAAGCGAGGCCATTGATCATAATGATATTTGCAGGCAAATCTTTTCTTTGATGTCGGAGCTGTCCGAGCTTATGTACGTAGCTTATTTAAGCTTAAAGTTCGGTGTGGATCGAAAATTATACAAAAACAAATGAGTCGAGCTCGCGAGAAGTTTATATCGCCTGTATCGATTCTTTCTTCTGAACTTTCAAGATGATCGATCAATCTAAAAGCTGCCGCTGCGCGTCATACTCGGACCATACACACATGTAAACGCGCTTGCCACAAGACGACAACCTTGACTTTCGTACTTTTCGCGCAAAAAGAAGCAAAACGACGAGCTACGCGACGCAAAAGCACACGCGCGCACACGTAAATCTAATCACTGCCAGTGTTCTGCTCGACACACATAGCGGAGCAACAGCCGAGGAAAAGCCGAGAAAGCTATTTATTTGCAGTATGTGTGTGTGTGTAAGCAGAAGAAAGAGAGAAGTTGCAAAGGCAAAATTAGCCGACGATGTTTGCGCGTTGCTTACTCGTGTATGTAATGCTCTCGAGGTATGAGGCTCTCTGATCTCTGGCCCTGTGTTCTCCTTTGTTTTGTTCGTTCTATACGCGTTTGTTCTTCGAATCGATAAATGCGCGTGTACTTAAACTGAAAATTGTGAATTTATTTTATATAAATGTGGTAACGAGATTGACTTTCTCGTATTATGTATCGCGCACACGATCGTTTCTCATTTTCACCTGAAAAAAAAGCTCGATTCTCGATTAAAAACAATATACACAATAATGTTATGTATGTATCGAATATCGGATTCCCGCGAGCGAGCGCGAAACATGCGTTCCATATACAGAGAGCGAGACTTTCGCCCCGTATCGGGGGCGGCTCTGATTGCAAGATCGATCGAAACTTTTTTGAGCTTTGTGAAAATAATTTAAAAAAAAATAAAAAAAAATATTGATTGACCGATAAAAGTCCGAATTATAACTCAAAGTGCAGCACTCGGAAAATTGAATATTTCGCGTTAAATTTCAATCAAAAAGAGCGCGTGGAAGCCGTTTATACGTATACTTCATTCACGGGTCCGCAGACATTATACTCGTGTTTCACATTAATTGGCGGCTATTTGGAATCACGAGGAAAATACACGCACGCAGTTGGCGGGGCCGCGGCTTGTAAAACGTTGCGCGTGCAATTCCGAAAAGACGTCGACCTCTTCTCTGAATGTTCGATAAATTATTCCTCCGACTCGAGTCGGTATATAAGTTAAACGATGCGACAAGTTAACTGGAGCTTATACAAAGTTGAATCGATATTATTAGCCAAAAAAACGCTGTTTTATAACAATTGAACTCGATTCTATAATTATTCGACTCGTTGGTTCTTTTTCTGATTAAAAATAGTCGGATTAAAATAGAAATGCAATTTGCACAACGAGTGAAACTTACAATTGTGTCGAGATTGATTGTAGCACGTTTGTGTACAGACAGTGTACGACTTGGTAGACCAAGATGAGTTACCGAATAGACAAGGAGTGAAATTGAATTAAGAAACCCCGTAGTCAATACTCTAAATTGGAATTATTTTTTTATCAAAATATAAAACATCTTGACATCTTTTATACAATTATTTTGACTTTGCAGCTTGCAGATTTACAAATAAAGGTACTCGCCATCTAACGGTGGAGGCTGGCTTTAATTTTGATAAAATCTTCAAAATCTGGTTCTAGTAAATCAAAACATCTGCACTAAAACGTAAATGTTCAAACAAATATTTGAATTTGAACGTAGAATTGAATCGTTTTACTTCATAATGGCATTTTAAATTGCATTTCCAAGAATTTTCCGTCAGTTTATGTAAAAATATAAATCAGTACCTAAATATTAATCTTCAACGAATATATCACGAAAAGTATCTTAAATACAATGCTGTACCGGTTACTTTCATTGTAATTCCTGATTTTGCATGAAATTGAAATTTTTTCAACGGAGTTCAAACTAATTTATTTGATGTATCGCATCAACTATAAAAGTCGATCGATCTTATCGAAAAATATACAACTAGTTTTCAACGTATATTATATGCTGCATCAATAAACCCCCCCACTCCAGATATTATTTTTGTTATTTTTTTTCCAATACGCTCGTCCGCGCGCCATAAAAAATGTCAGACGCCGCCGATTTCATTGGCGCCTCGTGATTATAAAACTTAAAAAAGACTAATGGACGCAGTATGACTCGAGAATAATTGAAGACTCGCGCTTGTGCGCGCGCGCGAATCTTCATAATTGTAATTTACAATGCCGATGCTCTCTCCCGAAGTGAAGCTTGCAATTTTTCATCCCGAGCATCGAGCGCATCGTCATTTGCCACAGTTGGGTTTTTGTGTGCGATGATGATGAGCCATCGTCATCGGTTGTGCATTATATAGACTACATACAGATTTTCGTGCATCGCTCGGAAAACTTTCTTAATGCTCGCAAAAATATTCCATAATAATACGGCACTCGCAAGTGCGAAACATGCACACGACTTGGCATGGCTCCAGGCGGGATGCGCGCGAAAAGAAAAAATAAATAAACTAATTCTCATGCCCGACATTTTTGCCTCCACGCACGCGGCGCAACTGCATTTTTCCCGCTCCCGATCAATCGGTTCTCTGTAATGCAATTCGATTTAACCGTACAGTTAAATTCAAAGCGACGCGTCTCCCGTTGAATCGTTATTCGATCAAAAATTGACACTCGCTACGGCGCAGTTATTGAAATGATCGACGCGAGAACGTCCAGATCTCAAGTTCACTCCATTCAAGGGTTATTTATAGTTGGCAATGATTTCGATCGTCGATTGGCGTTTTAATAATATTTCGATAATTGTCGTCTGGTTTCGATTCAATCATTCATTCGATTGCAACAACACGTTAATTCTGTATTGTATTACAATTGTTTCTCAATTATTCTTGATGTTCCGGTCAATGCAAAGTAAAAAATGAACGAGTTATTCTTACACTCAATACATCTAAAAAAAAATATGTACAACCAATAATAAGCTGGCAAATTCAGACATTAGATTATTTATACTAGATATTCTCTCGGCAACGGTGAAAACAATCATCGCGGCATACGAATGTGTGTGTGTGTGGCGGTCGGTACATTTCGTAGATTTTCATCGAGAAATTATCTTGTTTTGCTGACCCAAAATTCACTTACACACGCTACGTCTATTTTCGACTACGGTTGAACTTGAATTACTCTCGGCGATTCCAGGCGTATATTCGAGCTCTCGATCCACTTTTACTGTATCGCTAGGCGTGCTAGCTGGCGCCTGTGGTAGAGTCAACCCGGCTTGCGTCGCTTGATTTTTGGTCCTCTCTCTACCGGCGACTTCTGTGACTCGAATTTCCGTGTTTACTTATTTTTGATCCAACGAAAAATAAACTCGTTCACGTTCGTGTTAGGTTCGCGTGGTACACGCGTAAAAGCCTCTCGACAAAGAAAGTTTGATTCGCGCTACCCAACGTATGGAAAAGAAATTAAACTCGTAAAATTTATCGCGAGGCGGCGACCGCAGAGCCGAGAATCGACAACAATGATTTCTCTTCCGCGTCTCTCTTCAACCTCAGCTGACAAAAAGATAAAAAAAATTGTTATTTCCACTCTGCCGCGCGGGTCGAATAAGCTCTTCTCTCAGGTGCGCGCGTATACGCATAGACACACACTCAGGTGAGGAGGAATGGCTCGTCGCGCGGCACTGGCTCGAGCTGTCAGAGAAACAATTTGCTCGCTGATGTACGACGCAGTGCGCTGCGATAGATAGATTTTCTCGCTCTCATGCTCGCGAGAAGCCAAAAAGAGATTGCGTTACCCGACGAGCCGAGAGATGTTATCGCAGCCACCCCGCGATGTCACACTGCACAAACATACACAATCCGAGTGTTGTATCTCTCGCGGCTTGAATTCGTTATCCTATATAACACATCTCACGTAATGATTTTTCGTTTCAGGGTGGCTCCGGGGTATACGGCTCGAGGCTCGGTGCTGGCAGCGGCGGCTCTACATACGGCAAAAGTACCAACAGCAGCACCTCCACTACCGGAAATACTTACGGAAGCAGCGGTTACAGAAGCAATTACGCACCGACCAGTGGCTCGTCGGCCCTGAGAGCCGCAGCGGCGGCCAAAGAAAAGTTCGGTAGTGCCTACGCAAGCTCGAATTACGCCGCCGCGAAGAAAGACGCGGATAAGGACAAGCCGACGTACGGATACTTGTGTGAGTATATACGATGCCGATTTTTCATTTACTCGATTGTTCTCCAATTCGTAACGATCGCAACTTCTCGCAGATAACAAAAATGCGGACAAAGAGAAGCCGAGCGTCAGAAAAACGACGATGTCGACGACGAGGTCCGAGCAGCTGCGCCCGAGCAGTCGGGCATCGAGCAGCGGCACGAGCAGCCCCTACCTGGACCGCTACGGGAGTTCCTCGTCGGTTCACAGCGCCCGAGAGTCCGACAACGGCCTGTCCAAGTCGTCCTCGAGTTACGGGATCGGCAGGAAGGACACCGGCGTCGGCTCGACGTACCGATCTATGTACTCGAGAGTTCCTTCGTACAGTGGTAAAACGGAAAATTCGACGCGTAAGTTGACAATATTTTTTTTTCAACGAGGATTATTCATTCGATCGACGTGATGATTTTTATTGCAGATAACAACGAATCCAAGTCCAACGGCGCGACGCCCAACGGTCGTTATTCCGCTCCGATTCGAAACAATCCCGAGCGCGTGATAGCCACCATCAGCCACACGAACACGAAAAAGTTTCAAGTTATCAAACCCAGCAGCGTGATCGCACCTAAAGGTAACAAGCCAGAAGTTCAAACGCAGAAAAAAGAGGAAACGAGGGCGGAAGAAAAGCCAATAACGGCGGAAGACGACGAAGAAGAAAACGAAAACGCATCCGAAGAGGACGACGAGGATGAGGAGGAAGAGGAGGAATCGGGAGAATCCGAGGAAGAGGAAGAAGAAATCGTTATAAAGGTATCGACCCGAGGCACCTCACCGACACCTCCCCCCGCGCTCACGGCCTTCACCAGGACGAGGCGGCTCGAGCCCATTCCCAAGGTCGTCGAGAGGCGGCTCAAAAGGTCGCAGCTCGCGGCGACTCAGAGACGCGACCAGGAGCAGCAGATCGACGAGTCGTTTCGCGAGAAGCAGCACGTCTCGAGGTACACGTCCACTGGTCGAGTGTCCGGTGTGCCCTGGGTCTCGTCGTACATCGACAAGTTCAGCAGTACGGCTTCGTACACGCCGCGCACGGGTTACAGCGCGTCGACGACGACGACGAGCAGTAGTAGAGGAAACAGCGGTAACAGCAGCTTCGGCGTCTCGAGGTCTCGAGACTCGGGTTACTCGTCGGTAAAGGACACTTCGTCGTCCGTCAAGGATCTGTCGACGCTGAACGACGCCGAGAGTCTAAGAAGTCACAACACCTACTCGGAGACGTCGTCGATTTCGAGGGACACGAGCGCCCGATCGTCACCCAGTCCGATAAGACGCAGGAGAACGACGACAGGTGAGGAGAAACAGCAACGAAAATCCGAATCGCGAAGTCGCGACAGCTCGCCGCGAATCGTCGAGGGTCAGGATAACAATCACCACCAAGCACAAAATAACAATAACAATAACAGGAGAGACTCAACGAGCAGCAACGCGTCCTCGACGTCTCACAGTCGCAGCAGTACTGCCGCCGCCGCTACGAAATCGCGTCAAAGCAGCGTCGAGTCTGTCAGTTTGCCAAGCGGCAGGTCAGGTGGTAAGAGCAGCAGCAGCAGCAGCAGTAGTAATGCATCGATGACGAAAATAAAGCTAGCGGCTAACGCCACGACGTCGTCGTCGCCACCAGCAGCAGCATCAGCAACGCCGCCGAGCAAGTGTGTTGCTGCAGCCGCGACTGTCAGTACGCGTCAGGCTTCCCCGGCCTACGCGCGCGACCGGAAACCACCGGTTCCGAAGGCGACGTCGACGGAGATGATCGGCAAGAGCAGCAGTAGTAGCAGCAACAATAACAACATGGGTGCCAAATACGTCAACAAGGACTTCAGGAAGTCCGCGCTCAACATGGAGAACGGCGACCCGTCCAGATCGCAGATCATGGATCGCAAGATACCCAAGAGGACCCAGAGGAGCGTGTCCAACAGTTCGCAGGATTCGGACTCGTCCAAGTCGAAATCGTCCTCGGCCAGTCCAAAGGCACCTGGAAGTAGGATCGGTTCGCCTAGATCGACGAAATCGACTACGACGAAAGATATAGCGGCTCGGAGGAGGAGCAGCACCAGCAGCAGTAGAAGCTCGGAGAGTCCTTGCAAGTCTGCCGCCGTGTCGCGTGCCACCTCCGTATCGGAGGAGTGCGACAGCGAAAACAGCGCCTCGGAATATTCCAACAGCGACGACCTCGAAAACAATCGCAGACGGAGGAAGTCTTCTGCGTCGAGGAGATCGAGCAAATCGAGCGACGTCGAACAACAAAACAGTAATGCTTACAACAATGACAAACCACCGCTGCCACCGTCGTCGTCGTCAAAGGGCGATAACAAGATCGACGAGGCGAAAAATTTCTTGATGAAGGCACTGTCACCCGTAGCGAACTTATTCGCGGGCGGAAAAGAGCAGCAAAAGCCCAACAGCGGTGGAGGTGAAATTAGAAACGGCGGCTGGGTCGACGCCTCCATCTCGGACGACAGCAGCAGCAGCAGCAGTTCCGCGTCCGTGTCCAGAAGATCGAGTACCGACGAACAGCAGAAGAGGCCGACAAGAGGTGAACAGCAACATCAACAGTTACCCTGGGGCTTGGACACTTTCGCATCGGACAGCGTAGCGTGCGAATCGACGGGAGTCGAGACGCGTTTCTCCAGCGTGAGCAGCAGCCGCGACGATCTCAGCCAAGACACGACTATCAGCACTGTACTGCCGGACGACGGTGAGCTTTATCATATACGATTAGATATTCTAGAACATGTGACTAATAGTTTTTTTTCTTTCTTTCACCTTGCCATTATATTATTCGTTCGCGCGACGTTATTTTAGTGCGCGCCGCGCGGGGCATTGTTGATTGTCGTAGTGGTAGTGGCGGTGGTGTGCGCGCATGCGAAAATTGGAAAAAAGCCACGATGATGCCAACGCGCCCGAGTCGCGTTGCACATGTTTGGCACGAAAGTTTATGAAAATCCCCCGAAACGTGCAGCAAGTAATTGATACAGCCAATTTTCATAAAGCTTTCGTTCGCGCCGCCGCCGTGCGGAGGAAATAAGCCGCGCACACGTCCGACGCTAAACTTGCACAACAGCTTTTTCTTTTTACTCCAAAAACATTCGCGTGTGTTTTTCGGGGTATCGCTGTTCCAGAGTATACGTAAAAACAAAAAAGACGCGAGAAAAATTACGCAACGCGGGGTGTAGAGATGGTTCGTTGACAGAGAAGAGATCAAGTTGTGTGTGCGCGTATGTGTGTTATGCTGTTGCTGCGTGACAATTCCGATACTGTAGTGGCTAACGCTACGCGCGAGGCACGCGACACACATTTTGCAGTTTCTCTCTCTCTCTCCGAATGAGCAGATTACGACTCTCGTATACGATGCACCGCTCCATTAAGACTTTGTTTATACATGGCCCGGCCCCCCGGTATATGCGTTCTGACCGAAATATAGAGAAAATACGGTGAATAGAAAAGTGTCTCGAACACAAAAACGATACTGTAAGCAATTTTCGAAATGCGAGTAAACAGCTCTGGTCGAGCCGTATCTACTATTGCTACTACGTCTCTTGGCCCGAATGAGCGTTCGTACGAGTAACCACGTTTATTTTTTTCAAGGCTACGCGTCTATCGTTTAAGCTTAATTAACGATGATTGAATAGGCGTTCGGCGCAATTCGATCTGCCTCGCGCTGTATTACGTTTCTCTCGATCTATATCTTAAATTTTTCGTAGGTAAATTCAAAATTCGAGTCTGGCGCCAGGACTCGGAGGAGCGAGCCTTCTGGAACCAGGAGGACGACGAAGCAGCACCAGCAGCAGCAGCAACGACCACAAACATTCCAGCGGCCTCGCCACCGCCGACTGCCCGATCGACGCCCGCCTCGACGCCCAGTCAGAGCCGACGCGGCTCGAGCTCTCAGCAGAGCAGATCGGCGGCCGGCAGCAACAAGCAGCAGCGACTGGCGCGAATCAAGCGGCAGCAGTCGGGCGAGCTGCCCTGGTGGGAGAGCGACGACCCGGCCCAGGTGCCCGAGGGCGTAAGGGTGCTTACCCCGCCGCTGGGCCAACGCATCAAGCGCGTCGAGAGCGGCGAGAATCCCTGGTGGGTCAGCGACACCGCCAGTCCCCCCGATGGCATCGAGAGGCAGCCCAAGCAGCCGCAAGATGAGGACGATGATGACGACGACGACGACGAGGATGAGGAGTTCGTCAGGGTGGACATTGGATTGGAGAGCGAGACGTATCGAGGCATCGCCGGATTGGCTCGGTTCCCGCTCAACGGCGAATCGTTAGGTGATAGATCCAGTCCGGAAGGGGTGAGTGTGATAGCCAAGTTCGCGGTTGATAATATTTTCATTGAAATTGATATATTAAAAATGTACTTGTAAAGCTTGTTCGACAAAAGTAAACAAATCTTACTTATACAATTTGTTCACTTTGCCACTTGCAAAAAGAAAAAGAATTCTTGGTTTTCTTGCCGCATGACAAAAAATTACTTGCCTCAGGTAAAATGTCGTCTGGGTTCATGAAATCCTATAATTCTTGAGCCAACCACAGTGGATTTCATGACGGAGTTCGTAAATTTCTATCAGTGTACAGATCGTCGAAAGTCTCCATATTATATTATTAGATTCGACGACCAGATCAATTGTAGTTTCAAAGTCTATTAAATCACGAAGACCACATTTATGGTTGTCTCATTGAGTTTTCTTCAAGACTTTGAGTGTTGAGAACTTGTGGATTCATAAAATTGCAGTAACGTCGCGAATATTGTTAAACATGAACTTTTATTTACTGGTATGCTTTTACATGCTTTCAATAGCTCACTAGGGGACTCTATTTCATCATATCAGTACTGAGAACTTAATTTAGAAAAAAATTCATGCAAAACTACGTTAAATAAAACTCGATATTGATTACTTTAATTTTTTCCTCACATTTAACATAAAAAATATGCATGTATAAGAATTTTCGCTAAAGTCGCCTTCAATCTCGTTTGCAGATCGAGACTCCGTCCAATCCACTGGAAGATTATTCCGGGGTCAGAGCCTCGTCGCCCTACGACAACGTCATCGAGGATCACAACGTCTTTCGTCGCGAATCGCCCAAGAGAAGTCCTCCGAGAAAGAGACCGGCGAATCTGCCTCTGTTTATCGGCGACTCGAAGAATATCGACGATTTATTGGGCGACGTGGATGAGCCAGGTAAATTTTGTACACCGTCACGTGCCTCACATACACACACACACACACACACACTTGACCAACGCTTCACGTATAGCAAACGCAAAAGTAATCTCGTTTCTTTTCGGGTACGAAGGAGCTAGATTTCAAGCTGGACTTATTTACGAGCGTGCATGAGTTTACGAACGGACGTGTCCCGGTGCTCTGTGCTCGCAGCAGAGAGAAAAAGTCCGAAAAAAAGCTCTACACTCAATTTACTCGATGTGAAAAAAAATCATCTTATTTATCGTCTTTATCACTGCGAACACGTGCACACACGTGTATATATATATCGCCGCATCCAGCTAGCCCGGACTATGGCCAAGCGGCTGACAATAGACCGTTGCTTGAACTTTTCTTCCTCTCTTTCTTCTTTATCCCTCTCGGCTTTTCTCCTCGTTCGAGCTGAGAGTGAGAAAGTCACTCGCATAGAATTAATACCTCCTCGTATTATATATGTATGAGCGCGAGGAGCAACGGCAAGGCTGACGTCATTATATATATACAGGGCCCGCTGCTGCGGCACATATTTTCAACGTTGAAATTTCCTCTCTCGAATCTTATATTATGTATGTATATATGTGGTACACGTAACGAAAGGCATTAAGGCAAAATCGCGATAAATATATATAACAAGAACGTCATGCGGAGCCCTCGCGGCGTCATCGTCTTCCAATTACCTACATATACGATATATATAACTGGACGCGAGCTCGGCGTTCGTCAATGTCCTCCACGCGAGATACACATATACAAACACAGAGATCTGACACTACAGCTGTGTGTACGGGTGTAATATTAAGTACACATACACACGATAAGCAATGCATTATTTTCATATGTGTATTCTCTACATGCAGGCAGTAGCGGTGACGAGAAGAACGACGACGAGAAAGACGAGGAGCAGCAGGAGCAGGAGGAGGAAGAGGAAGAAGAGTGCCGAGAGATCGACGCGGCCGAGGTAATCATTCACGACAGCACACCACAAACGCCGTTCATCCAGCGGAGAAACAGGTGAGCGACTTTAATACGTATTTATACGAGGCACACGTTGTATATTCGTATGGGGCATTGTCTTACGGGCGAACGATGAGCGACGAGTCTTTTATGGTCCTGGTAGAAATGCTCAAAATTTTATGGCTGATTTTCGGTCTACGGAAAAGTTTCTTAGACGTAAAAAAAACCACTCGAAATGGACATTTATCAGCCGATAGCGTAACGTTTTTTCTCAAAATCATATGGTCGTACATAATGTTTTATATGTCGGTTTTCGACTACGAATTTTGCGCAAACTAGCCCACAAACACACTTTAAAACGTATTTTTCTACGCTTAAAATGTAAGACTTGTAAATCGAACATAATTTTTTAGTTTGTTTTTAATGAAGCCCTTACACGTAATAGTCAAGTATTACAGTCTGTAATTTTGCTTAACTCTATAGTTATACTTGACTTACACTGAATTATTTCGATTTATACAATTATTTCTACTTTACCACTTGCAGATTTACCGATAAAGCTAGTCGCCATCTAGTGGTAAATGCATAAAGTGATATTTCGTAATTAAATTTAAAGATTGTAAATAAATGTTAATAGAAAATTAGCCAAAAACAAGTCAACTAATAGTATTGTTTTTGAAAACATTTCAAATGGTTTTTTTATCTTTGAATCATTATTGATATTGACAAGGAGACCACCCCAACTCCGGGTCATGAATCTGGCCCAAACTCATAGAGGGTACTTTGGGCACCTAGAAAACATGCCCAGTAGGTTTAGTTTGATCTCATAGGCCCCTGGAAGAAGTATAATGCACATGCTACATTTAAATATTAATTATATGTAAAAAACCCCTTTCTATCATCACTTAATGTCTTCATGCATATGAAATCAAGTTCAAGCTCCCTCAATATACTTGAACTAACTCTCTTTCATGTCCTGAACACATTGAAAAAGATTCACTAATCCAGCTTTAGTTATTAACTGTCAAAATCTGACAAAAGCGATCAAATTAGAGCCAAAACAGGCGCCAATATGCACTTACGTCTACAATATAATTAAAAATATTTGTAAAATACAAACTCTTGTTGTTGATCCTTCTTCACCATCTCTTGACACTCAATTAGAGTAATTTTATTTAATCTTGAGTGATAGTGTGGCTTCATGATGATACCACACCATATCAACAAGCATTGTCGCTCAAGAATAGAGAAGTTGTTTATTACAGTGATTTCTTGGCGCCAATGCTTGTTGATATGGTGTGGTATCATCATGAAGCCACACTATCACTCAAGATTAAATAAAATTACTCTAATTGAGTGTCAAGAGATGGTGAAGAAGGATCAACAACAAGAGTTTGTATTTTACAAATATTTTTAATTATATTGTAGACGTAAGTGCATATTGGCGCCTGTTTTGGCTCTAATTTGATCGCTTTTGTCAGATTTTGACAGTTAATAACTAAAGCTGAATTAGTGAATCTTTTTCAATGTGTTCAGGACATGAAAGAGAGTTAGTTCAAGTATATTGAGGGAGCTTGAACTTGATTTCATATGCATGAAGACATTAAGTGATGATAGAAAGGGGTTTTTTACATATAATTATATTTAAATGTAGCATGTGCATTATACTTCTTCCAGGGGCCTATGAGATCAAACTAAACCTACTGGGTATGTTTTCTAGGTGCCCAAAGTACCCTCTATGAGTTTGGGCAAGATCCATGACCCGGAGCTGGGGTGGTCTCCTTGTGAGTATCGCTATCAGAGAAGTTGTATAATAATTGACTCGAAAAAGCGCCTCGTAGCGAAACTAACGATTCTCCTTTTGTTTTGCAGGGACAGCATATCGCAACCAGAGGGCTACATTCCGGTAAGCAGAGCTAATGCTATAAAAAAAAATCCATCCATCGCAATTTTGCAACACGCGAAGCTATGGGGCTCTCTCTTTCTCTCCTCTCACCCTGCTTGATGTATATCAAGCGCGCCGCAGATATTGCGCATCCACGAGAGGAGCTCTCTGCATAAACACCCGCAGAATCTAAGATTGCAAATTTATACTTGCGAGATATATATTTATTACTCGTCCCGTGGAAGAAGAAGTACGAGCTTGTAATCGTTACTGCGCTAGTCTTGATTTATTATATTATCGTCTCGGGCCTGGGCCTTGTGCGACGAGCGCCCCTATGTGTGCCACATACATTCTGGGTACGTAACGTACGTGGTCGATTCTCTATGGCAAATCGAATCATACAAAAAGTTTTCCCTTCTATGTGAGGCAACTTTTCCGAGGTGTGAAAGTGACTTTTTTATAAATTTACCGAAAAGTGAGCTGAGGAATAATTCGAACTGTACCAAAAACGACAACACAACGAGTGGTACATTTCGTCCTACAAGTTGAAAATTTTTTATGCCATTTGATTTGATTGAGATTCTGTCGTATATTATAATTTCAAGCAGACAATAGAGCAGGAGTTAATAGATGGCTTGATTCTTCAGTAAAGATCGAGCATTTAAATTCTCTACCTAATTAAGGAGTCATGTGCCGATCAATTTTTTTTCCTTTGTTTTAACTTGACAATGTTACATCATAAAATAATACTGAGGTTTTCTGCCCGAGATTTATACCTGCGCTTTACTCGAAATTGTTCAACCACACTAAATTTATAGATTAAGCTGTTTACTGTATGGTAGGATCTTTATATGAGCCGACGTATGGTACCAATTATCTAAGTTATACACTTAATTTATAAATGAATTTTCGTCGTTTTATCCCAAAGTTCAACTGTCTCTCATTCCGATGACCCGATAAATTTGAAAAATAAATGAACTCTCTGTAGCTTAACAATTATCACAACGCTCGGGCTCACAATTGCAAGCATCCCGACGCTTTATCCCTCCTATTCTATATCCGCATAAGTTATATGAAAAAATCGAAAAGCGTGAAATCCAATTGAATGCATACAATGCACGAGAGTTCGTGTATGCTTTCGGTGGCGGATTATGGAGAACGTCAACCATAGCATTTTTTATCAGTTATTTTGAAATTGAAATTAAAATGAAAAAAGCAAAACAAAATTTTTCGAAAATAAGACACAAAGTCGGATTTTAAAACTGATTCAAATATTGTACGGTAAACGTATAAACACATAAATCGGACATTTATTAATTGTAAACAATAATACCATAAACGATTTTAACATATAGTCCCTCGACACTCTAATCGTGTTAATAGTGAAAACAAATTAGTTTGAATTTCGTCTTTCAAGCCATAGTACCAAAAGTACATTTTACTAATTCAATTTCTGTGGCACAAAAACACCATCGTTTATTGTAAAAACCAAAATGGATAAAAGTGAAGAAAAACCCGAGGAAGTTGTCTTGAATAATAATTTGAGTGAACGCGACATTGTTTCAGACGACAAAAAATACGTTTCTGATATCTACCAGGAGGCATTTACACTAGAATCAAGCATGATAACACACCGAGACACAATTCATAATAATCAGAAAAATTATAAATGTGACAAGTGTGAAGAGATATTCAAGTTTCGAAGTCATTTGAGTAGACACCAAATATCTGAACACAAAAACCGCAAAGATTTTGCATGCGACCAGTGCGAGAAGAAATTTGTGAAAAAATCAAGTTTATCTACGCATCAAAAATTGGTACACAAAAATCACGAAAATTTCACTTGCAACAAGTGCGAGAAGAAATTTGAAAATAAATCCAGATTACTTAAGCACAAAAAAATATTCCACGAAGTTTTTAAAGATTACTTATGCGAAAAGTGCGGGAAGAGATTTGGAAATAAACAAAGTTTACTCATACATGTAAAGACTTTCCACGAGGATCGCAAAGATCACTTATTACAGACCGAAAAAAAATTTGAAAAAAAATCGCCTTTACTCATGCACGTGACGACAGCCCATAAGCAATGTAAATATTTCTCATGCAATAATTGCGAAAGAAAATTTGAACGAAAATCAAATATGCTTATACACCAGAAGACAGTCCATGAACGTCAAAAAGATTTTAAATGTGATAAGTGCGAGAAGAAATTTGGATATCGAAGCGTTTTAAGAGAACATCAAAAAGTAGTCCACGATGGTCGCAAAGATTACGCGTGCGACAAGTGCGATAGAAAATGTGGAAGTAAAACTAATTTGTCAAAGCACCAAAAGATGGTACACGAACGTCGCAAAGATTACGCATGTGACAAATGCGAAAAAAAATTTGGACAAAAATTGTCTTGGCTTTTGCACCAGAAGGCCGTACACGAGGGCCGAAAAGATTTCGCATGCAACAAATGCGATCAGACATTCGGATTTCAAAGCAATTTATCAAGACACCAGAAAACAGTCCACGAAGGTTGCAAAAATTATGCATGCAATAAGTGTGAGAAGACATTTGGACACAAATGGACTATGATACAGCATATAAAGACAGTGCACGAAGGTCTGAAAGATTACGAATGCGACAAGTGCAAGAAGAAATATGGACGAAAATCGCATTTGTTCGATCACCAGAAGACAGTACACGAACGTCGCAAAGATTTCGCATGCGACAAGTGCGATAGAAAATGTGGAAGTAAAACAAATTTGTCAAAGCATCAAAAGATGGTACACGAAGGTCGAAAAGATTTCGCATGCAACAAATGCGATCAGACATTCGGAACTCAGAGCAATTTAGCAAGACACCAGAAAACAGTCCACGAAGGTTGCAAAGATTACGCGTGCAATAAGTGTGAGAAGAAATTTACACAAAAACCGAGTTTGCTCTACCACCAAAGGATAGGCCACGAAGGTCTGAAAGATTACGAATGCGACTAGTGCGAGAAGAAATATGGACGAAAATCGCATTTGTTCGATCACCAGAAGACAGTACACGAATGTCGCAAAGATTTTGAATGCAACAAGTGCAAGAAAAAATTCGGAATTAAATATGATATGTTGAAGCACCAAAGGATTATACACGAAGGTTGCAGAGATCATGCATGCGACAAGTGTGAGAAGAAATTTGGAAAAAAGTCAGTTTTGATCAGACACCAAAAAACAGTACACGAGGGTCGTAAAGATTTTGAATGTAATAAGTGCGAAAAAAAATTTGGACAGAAATGGATTTTGCTCCTACACCAAAAGAGATTACACGAAGATCATTTTCAGGTGATTCTCGATGCTTTTTGAAATTGCGTACGCGATACAAATGATAAAATTTTAGCATAAAAACGCAATTTGATTCCCCAATTGATGTACTAAATGAAAAACAATTTGACCACTATAATCGCAATTATGCGCGATAGCATTCAATCACATGTCAGAAAATAATCAATTTTTTATGAATAATTTATTATTTATACAAATGCTTCGAAGACATATGTTCGGGCATGTCATCGGTGAAAAAATAAAAATTGCTCATTTTTTCTATACAATTGTAATTATATATAAATACTGTATATGGACGTTTTTATAAAATTTCATTCATTCATTTCTTATTGTACTCTAAAGATCTATTGACTTGATATCACAGGAAGTTACTTTGAAGTACTTAGTTTTAAGAGGCAAAAGATCATTGTACGCCAATGTGTAAACAGGAAAATCGGTAATTCAATTGTAAACAATATGGTCATTAAAGATTTTGATATATTCCCTTGACACACGGGTCATGTTTATATTAAAAACAAACTAGTTTTAATGTTATCTTTTTCCACGATATAACCCGTATTACTATAAGAAAAATTTTACTCATTCAATTTCTGTATCACTAAATAAAAGGATCTAACGTTCATTTAAGGATCCAAAATGGATAAAGGTGAGATAAAAATTGAAGAAATTAGCTCAAAAGATAATTTAAGTGAACACGACATTGTTTCAGACGACAAACAGCACGTTTGTAATATTGGCCAGGAGGCATTTACATTCGAATCAAGCTTGATAACACACCTAGACACAATTCACAATGATCAGACAAATTACGCATGTGACAAGTGCGAAAAGACATTTGAGTTTCGAAGTCATTGGAGTAGACACCAAATATCGGTACACAAAAGCCGCAAAGATATTGCATGCGACAAATGTGAGAGAAAATTTGAAAACGAATCAAATTTACTTCAACACAAAAAAATATTCCACGAAGTCCTCAAAGATTACTTATGTGAAAGGTGCGCAAAGAGGTTTGTACATAAACAGAGTTTGCTTTTGCACATAAAAACAGTCCACGAGTACAACAAAGATCACTTAAGCAACAAGTCCGAAAATGAATTTGGAAAAAAATCCCATTTATTTCAGCATCAAAAGACAGTCCATGAACATCACAGAGATTTCGCATGTGACGAGTGTGAAGGAAAATTTGAACGAAAATCACATTTGTTGGTGCACCAAAAGACAGTTCATGAGGGACGCAAAGATTACGCATGCGACAGGTGCGAGAAAAAATTTGGAAGAAAGACAGAGCTTATCAGGCATCAAAATATAATTCACGATGGTCGAAAAGATTATGCGTGCGACCATTGTCAGAAGAAATTTGGACGAAAATCGCTTTGGCTCTTACACCAAAAGAGTATCCATGAAGGTCGCAAAGATTTTCCATGTGATAAGTGCGAAAAAAAATTTGCGGATAAAGGCCAGTTCAATAGACACCAAAAAACAGTCCATGAAGGTCGCAAAGATTACGAATGTGATAATTGCATGAAAAAATTTGTAGATCGAAGGAATTTAAGAAAACATCAAAAAACAGTCCATGAAGGTCGCAAAGACTTTGCATGTGATAAGTGCGAGCAGAAATTTGGAGAAAAAGCCAATTTAGTCAGGCATCAAAAGACAGTTCATGATGGTCACCAAGATTTTCCATGCGATATTTGCGAAAAAAAATTTGGACATAAACATAATTTACTTGCTCATCTAAAGGCAGTACACGATGGTTGTAAAGATTATGCATGCGATAAGTGCGAGAAGAAATTTGGATACAAATCAGATTTGTTGAAGCACCAAAGGATAGTACACGAAGGTGTTAAAGATTTCACATGTGACAAGTGTGAAAAGAAATTTGGATACAAAGTAAATTGGTTTAGGCACCAAATGAGATTTCACCAAGATTAGAACGATACGCAGAGTAATGCGAGAAGAAATTTGGATACAGAAAAGATTTGTTTAAGCACCAAAAGACGGCACACAAAGGGCAGAAAGATTACGCATGCGACAAGTGCGAGGAGAAATTGGATCAAAAGATGCATTTGATCAGGTATCAAAAGACGAAGTTCATTATCGGAAAATTTTCAAAGCTTTTTAACATTACATATGCAATATGAACGATAAAATTTTAGCATAAAAACGAAATTTGATGCCCCACATTTGATTCGCTCATAAATTTTTGCATGTAAATATGCGAAAGGATGTATGAAATAAGAAACAATTTCGCCACCATAATCACTAATATGTGTAAGAGCATTTAGAATAGTTTATTATTCATACAAATGTCTCGATGTTATTGTAGTCATATGCTTGGGTATGCCATGCCCATTTTTTCTGTGTAATAATGTACTAGTGTCAATGTCATTGCACATGTTTTTCTAAAATTTTAATACAAATTTTGCCCTAATGATTGTGTCTTACTTGAGTCTCGTGCGTGCATAACTATCATTACACCTTTTTTCACTGTCGTGGTGGTTGACGATCAGCCAAGAGTTTTTTTCATAATTTATGAATAAAATATTCCGAGCTTTCAGAATTTTACTGCCCGAGCGCGTTTTGTAGAACAGCCTGACATTTTTGATTTCAGTGAACCAAGCCGAGGTTTAGGGGTTGTATGACAGGTATAGCGTGGATAACAGAGGTCAAAAACAACTTCTCACGCCATGTAATGTGAAATAAAATTAATTCGAGGAAGTGCAGTAATATGCTCGTTTGAATAGGAAGTTTTTTTTACAATAAGCAATATTGTCGCGTGACTACGTAGCTCTATACAATCCCTAGTCCCACGAGAAACAATTTTTTTTTCTTACAATTATTTTCCTTTTTATTTGGAAGCTTGCGAGGGAGTTTCTGTTTCTGTCTATTATCGTCGGTCACGTGTGTCGCGCGCATAAGCCTCAGAGCGGTCTTAAAGTTTCCGTATAATGAGGCGCACACACACACACACAGACACACACGTTTCAGGCGTTGCACGTGCGGTGTTTTCGCATTACACACGTACATCTAGGCGTGCGTAGAGAGAGAGAGAGGCGAGAGCTCGCGCGACATCGTGTGCAGCGGAGAGTGTAATATTCGCGCGACACCGCGCCAGACTGATTAATTTTCACCGCAAGATTACTCTCTTCTTCTTCTTCTGTGACGACTCGACTTTGCGCGCGACGAACACGTACTTACATCTACGCGCTTTCGCAGCTATGTAACGTACGCATTCGATGCTGTAATTGCAAAGTTTCGAGAGAGAGAGAAAAAAATCCCGTGCCAATGACCTTTTGTGCCGGTACGTAACACGTGAAATTAGCCGGATGAAAGATGATAAGGTCGACAAACTCTCAAGATACCGGCGGAGATCTTTGTGTTGTTGCTTTTTTTTGGCTTTTACTTCGTCGTGGTCGCGACAGGCACTCACCCTTTCTCATTGTTGCTATAAGTACGTGCACCCCCTCCCTTATTCTCTCATCATCGGACGTCTTTTCAGAAAGTTCGCAAAGCTCCCCGCGAGATCCTCTTCAAGTAAAGACATTTTTTTTCGGCTTCTCGACGACGACAATGTAAGTAGTTAGTTCTGGCTTCGGTCCTACGCAGAATCACACGTACACAAGCGCATATGCTCTTCCCCGTATATACCTGAAAAAAACTTTTTTTCTCGAAAATTCTATATTTTCTACTTGAACGACAGATGTACTTGAGTTATGGGTAAATTTTTACTGTAATGTATTAAAAATTATCAGAAACACAATAAATATAACACATAGTAAATTTTCCCATAACTCAAATATATCTCTCAGATTTTAAAAAAATAAGCAGTATTCACCGTAACGTAGTTATTGGTAAATTTCGCGCATCTTTTCTCTGTCTCTCGCGTCTTATCCACGTTTTTATGACTCGACACGTTTTTCGCTTCGTTTCTCATTATAAGCTAATTTACGAGTGCATTGTGCGACTCCGATAAAGTATGTAAATACAGTCTTAAAAAACATGTGCGAGCGGCTTCGAAAAGCCGCTCAGTTGATAACGCGACTCGCTGGCGGCGATGATCGTGTGTATTATTTTTTTTTTTTTTTTTTTCAAGCGTCATTTGAAATTTTACAGTTAAACAGTGAGCGTCGAGTGGATTGGTAAATTTTTAAAATAATTTTACTCTTGTACAGAATCTTCTTAGGTGAGTAAAGCCATTCGATCGAATTTTATCGTTAACCGAGGCAAGTACAGTGTAAAATTAATCTTTCGGCAGATTTGTCACGCGAATCGAGAGGTAAGCAATGTTTGATTTAATTTTTGGACTTTTGCTGGTCTCGGCAGCAATAGCAGCAGCAGCAGCAGCAGCAGAAACAGCTAATGACACTGCGCCAAGAGTTGAAACAAGTGACCGCATAGTCATCGGTCGCTACAAAACTACGTTCAAAGGCCGAAAGTACGAAGTTTACGAGGGCATCCCCTACTGCCTGCCACCGATTGGAGAGCTCCGATTCGCCTATCCACAGATCATACTGAACAAACATTGGGGCAAGCTCGAGGCGACGAACGGCAGTCATCGGTGCGTTCAGTACCTCGACGTGCCGCCGAACGAGAACGGAGAGACCCCGGCGGGACCGGGACGCGTCGTGGGCAGCGAAGATTGCCTCCATCTGTCCATCAATGCGCCGGCGAGGCAGGACAAGAGCCAATTGTTACCAGTCATAGCCTTCATACACGGCGGATCGTTTCAATACGGCAGTGGTTTGCCGTTCGCCAGCGACAATCCTTATCTCATGGACAGAGACGTCGTTTTCGTCGCTATGAATTACCGCCTCAACGTTTTGGGCTTTCTGAGCACGGAGGACAAAAATTTACCCGGCAACCTGGGTCTGAAGGATCAGCAGGCAGCGCTGATCTGGATCCACAATGAGATCAAAGCGTTCGGCGGCGATCCCGATCGAGTCACCCTGGTGGGTTTCAGCGCCGGCGCCTCGAGCGTGCAGTATCACTACCTGTCGCCGGTTAGTCGTGGACTGTTTCACGCTGGTATCGCAATCAGCGGCTCGATCCTCAATCCCTGGGGCTTTGCTCTAAATGCCCGAGAAAAAGCCAGAAAATTGGCGGCACTGGTGAACTGTCCTGGGACGAACGACGAGGACACTCGTCGAATGGTCGAATGTATAAAAAAGAAGCCGGCGTACGAGTTGGCAACCGCCACGAAAGAATTTCAAGTAATATAATTATAGAATTGATTTAAACTGTAGGATTGTTGAGTGAAGTGAACCCTGGTACAAATGCCTAATATTTTGTGGCTAGTTTTTCGCCCATGAAAATATTTCTTGGATATGAAGGAGACATTAGAATTTTTCGAATTTATCGTTCTTTGAAAATTCATGCAAATGAGCATAAAAACCAAAATTCAATATTTGTTTTGAATTTTCTGTAATTGTAAAAAATTCTAACGTATATAGAATCGAGTAATTGTATAAGTAGTCATTTTTGACTTTTTCACTTGCGGATTTACATATACAGTTACTCGCCATCTAGCGGTAGAAATTTGAAGTACTATCGTATTTAAAGTAGTTTAAAACTAGTCAGAATTTTTTCGATACAGTTAAATTGTAAATCGCTAAAAGCAAGCCTATATTGATGGTCACGTATTTTAAAACAAATTAAACGGCCAATTTTTCTATCATCAATATTGAGCGTCTCTACCAGGGAACAAAGAGGTATAATAAAACGTCAACGCGGCTATATCTGAACGCGATCGCTTTGCATTGCAGCGCTGGCAGTTCATGCCGGAAGCTCCATTCGCGCCGGTTGTCGAACCATCGAACAGTGACTGGTCTTTCATAACCCGTGCGCCGGAAGAGCTGATGAGAGCCAAGAGGATCAACGACGTGCCGATCGTCTTTACCACCGTCAGCGAGGAGGGCTGCGATCCCGGCGCAGGTTTTATGGATTTTATCACCATCGCTACTCTACAATATATGATAACTCGAGCGTCGTAATTTTTGATGCAGCCTACGCGTCCCACGACAAACTGCTGAAGCAGCTGAACGACCACTGGCTGTCGCTGGCGCCCCACGTGCTCCAGTACAATTACACGCTGCCGATCTGGCAGCATCGGTTCGTCGCGAGATTCGCGAGGCTGCGCTACTTCGGCAAGAAGCCCATCGACGCCGGCACCGACAAGGCGCTGATCAGACTGCTCACGGACAAGCACTATCTGTACGACATCGAGCGGGCAGCGCGCATGCACGCCGAGGCCTCCGAGAGCCCCGTGTATCTGTATTACTACTCGTTTCAGAGCGGCCAGAGTCGCAGCCGAGAATTGAGCCATTCGGATAAGAATTACGGTAATGTCAAAAATTTATAGAGCCGATCATCGAGTTCGGAAAGATTCGATCAAATGATCATGTCGTTTTTGCGTACTCAGGAGTTTGTCACTGCGACGACGTGCTCTTGGTGACGAGGGAGCCGGAAATCGATATCGACGCAGCCAAGTCCAAGAAAGCACTGGCCATGTCGAATTTACTGATGGACATCTGGGAGTCGGTGGCTTACGACAGGTATATCGAGAGAAAAAAAGGCGTATATTTGTCGTAGCGAAAAAAAAATCGCTAACTTAGTGATATTTGCAGAAAACCCAGTGTCAAAGGCGTCGAATGGCTGTCCATTAACGCGACCGATCGCAAGACCGCCTTTCTGCACATCCGAGGCCCCAAAGACTACCGTATGTCGAGCAGTTGCAATATGGGCAACAAGCGATTTTGGGATCTGTTTTTCGACCAGCAAATATTGTACGATTTTGAAGAAAAGTAATAATGAATAAAGTAGTTAGGAAATATTTCAAATGCGGATTGATGAATGTGGTTTTGAAAATTTTTACTAAAAGGGCTTTACACAATAATGAAAAAAATTATAAATGTTTGAAATACTTTATTGTTTTTTTTTAAAAATTAGAGGATATTTAAGCGATAGATTTTCCAAGATTTTGTAGCATACTCATGTGTTGTCACTTTTTTCATGTGTCCAAATGTTTTCGAATGAATATCACACTCCTATTTGCTCCGATTATGTACAAAAATTAAATGAGATTTAAGGTTGGTTTTGACCCCAACTTGTGACAAGTCTTACACTCGAAGGGTTTGATCCCACCATGCACTAAACTTACGTGATTTAAAAAAAAATGCTTGTATCCAAATGATTTACAACAAATGTCACATTCGACGGGTTTGTTGCGATTATGTACACTATTTATGTGACATTCGAGGTGATGTTTGAGTCCAAATGATTTGTGACACATATCGCATTCAAAGGGTCAGATACGAGCATAAACAGTATTTATGTGAGAATTAAGATTACCTTTCAGTCCAAATGACTTTTGGCATATCTAACACTTATAGGATTTAATTTGATTATGCCCTGTTTTTATGTGAGCGTTGAGAGTTATTTTGTATGCAAATGATTTCTGACACATATCGCATTCAAAAGGTTTGCTTCCATTATGGACTGAACTTATATGTTTTTTAAGGTCACCCTTATATCCAAATGATTTTTGAGAAATCTCACATTCAAAGTGTTTGTTACGATCGCATTCACGTGATACTTGAGGCCACTTTTTCGTAAAAATGTTTTACGGCAAATTTCACATTCAAAAGGTTTGATACGATCATGTTCTGATTTGGTGTGCCCTTTGAGTTTGTTCTGATCAAAGAATGAATTTTCTTGAATTTGATAATTTTTATTGTAATCCAATTCCTCTTGTATCAGCTTCATCTCTTCTTTATCCTTCAAGTAGTAATTTTGATCTTGGCTATCTATTTTCACAATTGATGGATAACTTTGATTCTCAATTTTGCAGATGTTCGTTGATGAAAAAAATCTGGTTCATATTTAACATCTTTGCACTCAAAATCAATGAATATTTTTTCATCTAACTGTGCCTGTAAAGACATAACCTCATTCATGTTTTTTGTATAATACAAAAAATGTATAATATTATTAGATAATAAAGATACAGAATATAATTCGAATCATTAAACTCACCGATGATTTATGAAACTCGAATGTATCAACGTTTTTAGTTTCACATGAGTTCGTATCGTTGCTTGAATCGGGCCAAGTATTGTCCGACTCTTCTTTCACTCTAGAAGATAAACGTATTTGATGAAATGATCGTTTAAAAAAATATGATTACATGCACAAAAAATGTTATACCTAACTGTTTCCTCTCGGCTTTCCATCATTTGCTTAGTTGGATTTAATCACTGTGGATTTTCACGATGTATACTGAGAGAGTATTCGAGGTTATGTGTTTCGCGTAGCCGACATTAAATTTCTACTTCACCATTTTGTAAACACTTGCTTACTGCAGGTCTCAAATACTCGCCAGCGACTATCATACGCATTACTCGATTGATATACATAGAGGGACTCGCATGTCATTATAAACTACACCGAAATTGTAAAGAAAATATCATTGATCCAGGCGCACAACTTGCTCACGAATGAAGTTCAATTAGTAATTGGATCTCTACTCCTTTTAATCACAAATCTACAGCAGTTGGATTGATGATTTGCATTAATGATTTTCGGTGACGGATTTAGAAGCACGTCAACCACGCCTTGGCGTGGAGGCAGCTCTGGATAGGGGCGGAATATTTGTTAAAGAATTTTATACTTTTTTATTATTTATAATATATTGTATAAGTATCTATTGACTCGATATTACTAGAAGTTATTTTTAAGTACTTAGTTTTAGAAGGCTTATAAAATTTCTCGAAAAATTGTCACCAAGATAGAATTTTAAACTAGTTCTAATTTGGAAGAATAACGTATAAGGAGATAAATCGGTAATTTATGAGTAAACAATATGATTATTAGCGATTTTGACATCATTCGACATACTGATCATGTTCATAGTAAAAACAAATCAGTTCGATTGTTGTCTTTTTCGATGAAACACGCCATAACGCCGAAAGATTAATTTTACTTATTAATTTTCCGTGGCTCTAAATTGAAGAATTTATCGTTCAATTTGGGAATCAAAATGAATAAAAGTGATAAGAAGCCTGAGGAAGTTGTCTCACAAGATAATTTAAGTGGACTCGATAATGTTGTATCAGACGACAAAAAACATATTTGTGATATTTGCCAAAAAGCATTTACACTAGAGTTAAGCATGATAAAACACCGAGACACAATACACAATGAACCGAAAGATTACGCTTGTGATGGGTGCGAGAAGAAATTCGAGTTTCGAAGTCATTTGAGTGGACACCAAATATCGGTACACAAGGGCTGCAAAGATTTTGCATGTAACAGATGTGAGAAGAAATTTGTGAAAAAATCGAGTTTGTTGACGCACCAAAAATTAGTCCACAAAGACCCCGAAGATTTCATATGTGACAAGTGCGACAAGAAATTTGAGAATAAATCAACATTACTCAAACACAAAAAAATATTTCACGAAGTCTTCAAAGATTACTTATGTGAAAAGTGCGCCAAGAGATTCGGAAATAAACATCATTTGGTCGTGCACTTAAAGACAGTACACGATGGTCGGAAAGATTTTTCTTGTGACAAGTGTGGGGAGAAATTTAAAGAAAAGTCGCAAATACTCTTTCATCTAAAGTTAGTTCATGGACATCGGGCAGATTTCGCCTTGAAAGTCTTCAACGATTATATATGTGACAATTGCGGGAAGAAATTAGGATCTAAAAGCAGTTTGCTCTGGCACATAAAAGTAGTCCACGAGGGTGTCAAAAGGTACGCATGTCACAACTGCGAGAAGAAATTTAGAAGTAGAACAGATATGTTGAGGCACCGAAAGACAGTCCATGAAGCTCGCAAAGACTACGCGTGCAATAAATGTGAGAAGAAATTCGGAGAAACATCGCATTTATTTAAGCACCAAAGGACAGTCCATGAGGGTCACAAAGATTATTCGTGCGACGAGTGCGAGAAAAAATTTGGACAAAAACCACATTTGCTCTGGCATCAAAAGACAGTCCACGAAGGTCGCAAAGATTTTGCATGCGACAAGTGCAAACGAAAATTCGGATTTAAATGTAATTTACTCGTCCATCAAAAGACGGTACACGAACGTCGCAAAGATCATGCATGTGACAGGTGTGAGAAAAAATTTGGAAATAGACACCAATTGCTCAGGCACCGAACTGTAGTCCACGAAGGTCGCAGAGATTTCGCATGCGACAAGTGCGCGAAGATGTTTGGAGATCCAAGCGCTTTGATTAGGCACCAAAAAGCAGTCCACGAAAGTCGCAAAGATTTTTCATGTGACTCGTGTGAAAAGAAATTCGGCGAAAAATCGAATTTGATCAGACACCAAAGAACAGTCCACGAAGGTCGCAAAGATTTCGCTTGCGATCATTGCGAGAAAAAATTTGTCCGAAACTGTAATTTACTATCGCACCTGCGGTCCGTACACAAAGATTGCAAAGATTATGCTTGCGACAAATGCGAGAAAAAATTTGGTCAAAAAGTGCATTTGATCGGGCATCAAAAGACAGTACACAAAAATCATCAAGATTTCGCACCCAAAGAATAAGAGAAAATACTTATTCTCAAGTGAGTACTGATAGTAATGTTCTGAATATATTTACTGTCGAAATATTCTGAATCAAGTTCGGAAAAGATTTTTCGGACTAATTTTATTTTGCACAATTAAATGACCTAACTTCATGATAATCACGTTTATCATAATCGAAGCAACAAACTCTTTATAAATGATTTATTGCTTATGCGAGTGTCTCGAAGTCATGCTTGGAATAGTCGAAATAATGAAAAGCGCCAAGTTTTTTCTTGATAATTGTAAATGTAGAAAGATAGTTCTGTAACCAATTTAAAAAAAAAAAAATTTTATGTTTTCTGTGCTCTTTTTCTATAATTTGAATAAAAATTGCAACTATATGATTATATCTTAAATGAACCTTGTGCTATCAATTATTGCGCCTTTTCTTCTGGCAATAACTTTTCCACGTCTTTTTCCTGTGAACGTGAAATTTTTTGGCACTATTAGATTTTTAAAAACGCAGACGCACACTGAATATTTTTACCAAGAGAAACCAATATACTCTTTAAAATTGTTATAGTAGCTCTCCTAATAGATAAACCCTCGTCCTAAGTATGGGTATCAATTATTACTTCAATATGTCTTGTAAATTTGTATGGGGCTAGCACCTTTTCTAATCCACTACCGAAGGCATACATCAAAAATTAATAAAATTAATGAACGATTGAAAGTTTGACAATAAAAAAAAATTCAATCGTTGCATTATTTTACACTTGAAGCGCGAATATAAAATCACGAGTTTTTGGCATCTATTCCGACACGAGCGAGTAAAAAGAAAGAAAACTTCAATCGATAAAAAGTTCAATTGAAAAAAAGTAAGTAAATCCGAAAGAATCGAAAGAAATCCGAAGAATAAAAAAAGTTCAAACAAGTCTCAATGTAATTGAAAAAAACAAAAATTCAAAATCGAGTTAAGTTTAAGAAAATTCAAAAATGAAAATTCAACCGAAGAAAAGGACTCTAAAGTTTCACTTCTGGTGTTAATTCATGTACAAAGCATTCTAGAGAATCTAACCACCAGAAGTTAAAATTCAAATTTCTTTTCTTCGGTTGAATTTTTATTTTTGAATCTTTTCGGGGTATTTCGAAACTCAGTTGTAGAGCTCTTAAAATATTCGATTTTGAGTTGAAAACTATTCTTAACATTGAATTGCCCTGTAGTCGTATCAGACGTCTGTGTGGATTCAAACGTACTTTTGTTATTATTTACGCAAATGTACGGCCCGTACTTGATCTACCTTTTCTATCGTCGCCAAATTTACTCTGTACACACGTGTTTATTACTTTCTCT